CAGAATATAAATATTAATAAGCAAACGTTTAAGACAATAAAAAAAACGAAATGAATACCAAACGTAATACACATAGGTTATATATATACATGTTTGCTGCATAAGATTTATATCAATTATTGCTGTTACGTAATAAATGTGATGATGATGATAAATTGAAGAGAAATATGAGTTAACAAATATTTATTTATTTAATATTTGCATCAAGTGAATTAGACGATTAAAATATCTATGAATTTATATCCAAATATTTCAATTTGATAAAATTAAAAAAAAAATGGAAATATTTATAAGGAGATGTGCATTCTTGATTTGGTTTATGTGGATGCACTATAAAATTAAAAATATATAGGAAACATATCAACAAACCGCAGAAAACACATTAAATACAAATTATAGCTGATATTATAAGGACTTTAATGAGTGTATTTATGGTTTGAGCGTAATTAAATAAATTTTGTGATGCTGGCATTTAAAGCCGCAAATAAATAATGTAAGTAATTTGTAGAATATTCATTTATATAACAAATAACAACATTTATTGCAACATTTACAGTATTGTTGTTATTTTTAAGTAAAGGTGCGTACACACTAGTCTATTCATTTTTATTATAATGAAAATATCTAAATTAAATGATGAAAAGTATACTGGAAAAATGATATAAATCTTATAAAAGTGACCACATGAAGGTTATTCTGGTCGTGGGTAGAAAAAAAACAAAATCTGTTCATCTCTTCATGTTTTGATAGAGTTGTTCTTTATTTGTTCGGATGACGGTGGAGGCGTACGATGATGGTGATCTGGGCATGAAAACAGAGAACAGAACTTGAAACAATGATGTTGTCCGTTGGAAGGAAACGCGCGTTAGATTTTCATAAATGCAAATGGGACCCTTAATGAATTCACCGGCGCAAACAGTGATCCGTTTGATTTACCCACACGAGAAACCACCAGGTTTCCACCGGAGTCGCGCATGTAATTTCCTTACCTCGCCCAAGTGGAAACGCACCCACGACGCCCGAAATGCGGATAGGATATGGACAGCAGTCCGATTACGTAACGCGAATCCTTTTTCCCGGTGGTTCTCCTACCTCTCTTCCTGCCTACCTTCCAATAGGTTATGGGCGATCGCGGAATCGATTCCGATGGGTCCGTTCGGATTGGTGTGCAAGTGCATACGTAGTATGAATGCATGCAGGCAGTGACGGTATGCAAATTCGAATTTCGTTCTTTAATGGTTCGATGTTTTGTTTCAGTACGACGCGACGCAATATCCTGTGCACCTGGTGAAGAGAATGCTCGATCGCACCACGCTCCTACCTGGTGAGTACGTTGTGCAATCGCACGTCCGAGGTACCGCTATTTACCCATTCGGATACACTCACTAAATCCATACCTGATTAATTCCATTTCATTTATGATGGTATTATTATTTATCTAATAATAGCTTCACCATTTTTATCCAAGAAAAATCCAAAACTTAGTTGGACCAACTCCAAAAACAAGAAATCAATTCAACTAAATTTATACCTCTTTATTTACATTTTAATAATTGTATTATTACCATTATTATCCAAGACTTAGTTATAGCAATTTTCAAAAACAATTAATTAATTTGACATAATTGTAGCAACTTCAAAAACATGGTATCAATTTAACTAAATTCATACCTATCGTGATGTGATTACTACAACATCACTACCATTAATAAGAAACCTATAACTTAGTTGTCTCTAGGATTTAATTTAGTTAGAACAATAACTTTGTATCATTGCCTTTCAAGACAAAACCATGTTTGTAGAAATTTGGACTAAAACAAGGTAACTAAATAGATCAAAGCAAGTTTGAAAAAAAAAACAACAAAGCTAGTATACTGGCACCATGGGCTTCATTAAATCATTCGAATGAATCGGTGTCGCATCTCATTACTCTGAAATTTAAATATAACGTAACGATTACTAAACAAATATTTTTCGACTTGCACAGGAATAACTAAACGTTTCATTGTTGTACTTCTTTATATATTTTTTAAAATTTTATTTTTTGTAAATTAAAACTAGTCATTGCATAGTTCAAAATTGTTTAATATAAATGACTGAAACGTAATGCTATTAAATTACACTTGCTGCACCTCTTTCATTTGTGATTCACAAAGATCTGCATATTTTATACAAAACGTTTCTATTTTTCAATATTTTCGAATACATAAATTCATTTTTTTTATTACAATATATTTATATTAATAATATCTAAATACGTATTATGTTATTTTCTTTTTATTTCTTATATAAGAATTCACTGCAAAATACTTACATTTTATTGATTTCTCAAAATCTAAGAATTTTTTTTTAATTATAGAAAATATAAAAAATGTTAAATATCTTATTAAATTTTATTTAAGATGAAATCTGTTAGTTTATAATAGTTAGAACTTATTATAAATATATTCTTAAATATTATTTGAAAGTTCTGGAATTAATAATTTAATACGTAATTAACCGATTATCGTATGAATTGAATGTGAAAAACAATTAATTGTAATTAAATTTGAAAAAGTTTCATTACTGAATATTTAAAGATTTTTTAAATTTTTTTAGATTCTGAATTGTTTGCATGTATTTTTTACGTGCAATAAACTTTAAGTATTTGCAGATTACTTCAATCGAATGACCTGCTTCGGTAGTTAACTTGATCATTCGTGGTATGCGAACGATGCGAGTCATTGAAAGTCGCCAATAACTATGTTACACCGGTTAATAAACGCAGAGAAGTGGGTTATAGATTATTTTGTTTTTATTTGCAACTTTTCTCGTTGTTTCATCTAACAAATAGTAAATTATGTTTTTTTCCATATATGTTTACTATCGATAACACTTTTGATCTCATTTATTCAAAGAGCTCTTGCAGATTTTACACTACAATTATTTTTGTCAACTTCAAACTTTAGTTGACAAAATGAGGTTAGATGTCATAGTATAAATTTGATATTCAATTACAGTCGCTTCCTCTTTATTGGGACAAATCCTAAAGAACCGAAACAAAACTAATTTCATGTTGAAATTGTATTAAATCTATTCAATTACAAACACGTTTGTAGAAACACTATTACCAAAGCGTATTCAATAATAACATGTGATAGTATCATTTAGTTAATGAATTGCTGTTGGTAATTACCTGCGAGTCAAAGTCCGTTGCGTTCCACTGACCATAACTCTACGAGATTATCATTATTTTTTCTTTGATGCATGTCAAAAGGTTAGAGATCTTGGGTTTAATCAATCAAACGAACAAGTTAGAGGTAGGACAGGACGTCGATTAGTTTATATAATGTTCGTTCCTCTTTGAATATGATTTATGGCTTTATTCTAATGTGTATCAACATGTTACCAAGAAACTTAAGTCGGCGTATTAATTTGATACACACGTCACTTGAATGTAGTGAAGTTACATGCACGTTACATCTGAATTTAATACACTGCAAGTAATTGACGTACTTATTCATGTTCGGAATATTTTCTTTTCGTTTTTTTTTTGTTTGTTTTCACTAGTCATCAATAATTTGTTATTGCCAGTCGTGTACGTATGTGATGCAAACGCAAAAGGATAATAATCATAAAAAGAGAATTTAGTAAAAGAGAAAATTCTTGTATCAAACGTAATTATTGTAATTACTGATACTACATTATTATGCCTACATTAAATGTAAAATAAAGTTTTTCATTTATCAATGTATTTATATAAGTATAAAATACTTGTATAATCACTATTTAATACATTAATATAAAATCATTAAAGATTTTTAAGAAATACATGGGAATTTGTCAGAATGCCCAAAGCAATGTAGATAAATATTTCCAACAATTATAAGTATCGTATATTTGTTTTGTTTTTAAAATATTTTATGAAAAAAAAAATTCTATTGACCTTGAAACTTGATTTTATTGAGCTGAAAGTATATGGAATAAATAGATTTAAATTTGTCAAAATATCAATAAAATTGTTATTCTTGTCTATTATAAAATTATAGCTTTAATATTTGGTACAAATCAATATGATATTACCGACAATTGTTGGGAAATATTACTAACAAATTGTCGGGAAAAAGTAAAATATTTGTAATTAAAGGTATAGTTAGTAATGGGTTTGGGAAAGTGATATTGTGTATCATTAAGAAGCAATGAACATCTAGGGACAAAATGTATGTAGTTTTTAGTTCATACGAGAATTGACCTTCGATTGTAACACTCCACCGACAATCCAAAGTGTAAAGTTTAGAAAAGACAAGCTTGTTTATATTTCATCTTAAAACTATGAAAACTATTTTATTGGAAAATAAATGATTTATTATTTTTGTAACCACTTATATCATGAGTATTTTATTGGGGACACAGTTCCGATATGGATCAACGAGGAATGTGTATCAAGTATAGGATACACACCTACGGAAACTGTGGACGCAAACATCGGAATCCAAGACGGTTGCATTACTACATACATATTTGTTTGAGAGACGAACAACAATAAAAAAAAAAGAGAAGACATACACATGTGTTGCACAAATGGTTATATGGTCGTTCACGTGAATTCAAATGCGCGCATGGGGGGATCCATTGAGGCCTCTTATCAGTTTGGTGAATCGTAAAACTATCTTTACTACGATTTGAAACGGTCTCAAGTGTAGACCTCTCGAGCTAATAAACGCCGGATTCCGGAATTACGTCGAGTGGAATTCTCGAGACCAAGGAAAGCCTCAAGAACGAAAGTGGATACGAACAAAAATAAAAATTACGCTCGAAATCATAATAATAATAATAAAAACAGAGTGAGGAGGAAGAAGGGGAGAAGATGGAAAAACGGCACAAACGAAGAACGATAACAATTGAACTTGACCCGCGATAATGTCTTGTTCCGATCGGTCCGGCGCCGCGGTTTTGCCTGTGTTTATACTTAATATGTTTTTTTGACCAGTGTCGTTGTGGTTCTGTTTTAGTGAGGCTGGTGGATGGGTGAGAAGCTCAGGAGAAGAGTGGTTGGTAATAATTAGTGCGGTTTTTTTTTCTGTAATGCTCAACTGATCTCATGCTCGTACACTAAATATAGACGAATGTTTATATAAATAGATTGCGTTATTTATTATCATTCCACCATTATCAGCAGGAAAAATATACTATCGGCCGTAGAGCCTGTAGCTGTGCGTTCTCGCTGTATGGTAATGAGTTCCGAGTTATGTATGTGCGCGCGTGAAAACTGGACACTCATTGAGATGGGTTTGGGAATATGAAAGGGAGGGACACCCATCTTCCATCTACCATCGTCTGACAGCTTGTTAAACGGGACGGGGGACGTACGGGGAGGGGACGATCGCGGTTTGTTGACCGTGGGCCCACCTGGGACGAGGAAAGTCCCAGAAACAGAGACCACGACGGTCAAGCCCCGTGACGGATTACATTTCTACGGTTACCATCGGCCCATTGTAAGTCATTGATACCCATTGTAACCTTTAATACCATGTAAATCTCTTCGGGGCGGCTGCGACTACGTGCGGCTCCCAAAACATTCCTCAAATACTTTCTCACTTATCAATCCCAGTTCAAACACACTCGAACACGCACTTTGTTTATTTTTTTTTATTCTTCTCATATTTTTTTTTCACGAAAATAGAAAGAGCTTTTTCATAATTTACATAATTTATCTGAAAATGAACGTTGTACCAACAAATAAATTTCCTGCTTATTTCTTATATACATTCAGGACTTTAATTAAGCCATTATCTGGATTATTTATTACTTTTTACGTAATTACAGTGGAGGGCCTACGAAATTATCGATATAATGGTGTGTCGTAATGCCGTTCCGAAAGGGAAAGCTGTTATGGGATTGTTTACTTTGATCTTAGATTTTGTTTACAATAGACGGCATCTGCGCGACATATTATAGAGCCTTGGTATGTTGAACCCAAATAATACGATCTTTGCGATTTTACCAAACCTCTCAAATTCTTATCGAGAAAATGATGAAAATCTTCACATTTAATCGTTCAAGGCCAAGTGCATATTTTTAACGAACTATAACCCTTCAAGGATTACGCGATTAGTCGATTGATCATCAATTGAGAAAGACTAATTTTGAGATCTTATACTAAAGGTGTACTTAGTCATATACTGAATCATTATACTCATTCATTTATTCCCCAAGGTCAAACTTGTCAAATTCCAATAAATGAATAAAAAAAAAATATACAAAATATATATAATTCTATAAATATATTTAGTCTAGAAAACATTTGTAATTTCTAATAAAACACATTGAATATTACATAATGATAATTTAAGTTTAGTAATAATAATAATATAATTCGTTAGTTAAATTTAACGGTCATGTATATTTAAGTATAATGAGTCACTAATTTATCTCATTAAATGTTTACTATTTGGTCTAATCTACGAAGATTACCAAATCGTCAATTTTAAACAAGCTTAAAGTAGATGTTTATCTTTTTTTGTCTACACAAGTTCCATTTGTGTATAAAGCTTAGTAATTTATGAAAACTATTACTTTTTATTAAAATCAACACATTTGTAAAATTAATTATATTTACCAATAAATTTACTGACAATTAAACAGATAAAATTAAGTAATTGCATTCTTCACTCATTTTAAAATGCTTTTAAATTTAATAAATATAACAAGGAATTTATCAATTAGTAACATTTTTTATTTTATATACATTTCGAAAAAAAAAAAAATTCCTTAGTTACATTGATTTAGTTATAGCTTTTTTTAATTTCTTACTTTTTACTAATATTTTTAGCATTTAATTTATAAATTTAATGCAAAATTAAAATTACTGAAATATTACATAATTATTAGAATTAGGTTTAAATGGAAATACCTATATTAAGTAATCAAATAGTAATTAAATCAACATTGAAATATATGGAAAATCCCATTACTTATGATTCTTCCACCCATTTCCGAACTATCTGTCGTTTTCCAGTGCTCATTGAAACGTTCTACGCAGCTGATATCAGTCTTGTATTTCATTGATAAAAAAGTATATAGAGGATTTGCTGATAGCGTTCAGCACAATGGAACGACGATAAATCGTCCCGATTATGCAACGCAGTCCGGGGCGAAAATCAGCGTGAAGAGGTAATAAATATTAAAGGAAGAAGAGTAAAGCAAGCAAGCAAACAAACAATGTGCGCGCGCGAAAGCCATACCTGAAGTGTTTACATAAGAGAGTTAAATATCATCGATCCATATCGGATACTGATCACATTGTTAATTGATGCATTGAAGTGCAGGTATTGAACGCCCACCTGTGGGATATGGATCTTTCCGTTCGTCGCTTTTAACACACAAACAATGTATGTAACAATGTAATGCGTTGGCTAATTTGCAAAATGCTTCATTACTTTATGGATGTACCTGACCTACCATCATTTTGTACAAGGAAGAGCAAGGTTAAAAGAAGCTGATGAACTCTAATATCTGTCAAGTTAACGTTTTATGGATTAGGATTAAATAATACCAAAAGTCAAGTTTATGATTACAAGATCAACGTTATTTAAGGTACAACTAATTTTCTATTTAAAGCTCGAAAAAGTATCACATTTGGATGCTTGGGGAATGTAACATGTAGGCTAATTGTAATTGGCATTCAGAAATGAAGTAATGAAAAATTAACACTCGAAAAAGCGTTGGCTAATTTGCAAAATGCTTCATTACTTTATGGATGTACATGACCTACCATCACTTAGAGCAAGGAAGAACAAAGTCAAAAGAAACTGTGGAACATTATGAGCTTTATTATGTATTGTTATCTAATATCTGTCAAGTTAATGTTTTGTGATTTCAAGATCAATTTAGTTCAAGGCGTTTAAAAATGAAGTAATGAAAAGTTAACATTCGAAAAAGCAATGATTTTCTGAGATATGTATCACCTAATTGTTGGTATAATTGATAGATATTTGTACATTTAGTTATAATTTTAGTAGTTATTTCAAAATAAAATGGAAACATCCTGTATTATGATTTTATCCGGTGGCCATCAATTAATCAAGGATTGCGGGAGTCACGTAGATCATATATATGATATCACAGCGATAGTCGAAAAATAAAAATAATTATTGGGTATTCCGATGCAAATCCGAGCCGCTCTATTCGAAAATAACATTTTCGTTTAAATTTATTGCCACAAACGTGTTATTATACTGTATACCGCAGGGGAATTATTACTAATTCTCTAACTTAATTACTATCTATCATTTTATTATGATTCAAGTCCACATTTTCTAATGAACACATCTCGAGACGTGATGGAATAGTTCGAAATAAATATACACCAAAAAAAAAACAAATAAATTTGTAATAGAGAGAGACATACAAAGCAAAATCATAAATAGTTGTGAAATTGATCGAAATCTAGAGTGGGTCCGTTTCGCCCCGTTTGCGCAAACCGGTCCAGCACGATGATGCAATTCGGTGCGGAATCATAACGGAGATAATTGGGTTTGTGGGAAAATTGTGTAAGTGCGTGGGATGATGGTTCGATGGCGCGAGGCAAGCGCAAAATACTATCGAATACGTGTCGAACTGCGTGCTGTACCATAGAGAGATGGTTATTACCTTACAACCATAACCATCACTTCCAGCAGGAAATCGCGCGGTTTTTCCGAATCCGAAAAAGCGGCGATTGGTAATGACTGCAGGAAACATCGACGTGACCTAATAAGGGAAGACATAATGTATAATTAGATTCAAAAACCGCACCCATATATTTCATAGTATCCACTAACAACTATAATGTATACACAACTAATCCATAATATTAGATAAGTAGGAAGCGCCGGTTGCGCAACTGTTGCTCAAGTCGGTGTGCGTGTGCTTATGTGTGAGTCCGTGTATATGCATATGATGTAAGTGTGTTTGCGCGAGTGTTGTGTTGTGTTTTGTCTTGTCTACCTACCCTGGATTCGCGTTCAATGCAACCAGAATCGCAACCGCTCGAATCAATATTCAGATATTGTAATGCATTCGGGACAGGAAATGTAATCCTTCAATCTGGAGAAGATGAATGCTCTTCTCGTATTTGTATTCGCCCGCGACGCGATTTGCATTCAATGCGCTTCAAACTACCTCCATCTCCTTTCCTCTCTCACCACTCCTCCTCATCGTGTATCCAAAAGGATTTATTCGAATGCTCCCAGAAGATTCTCCAGACACCAAATGACCATTGCATTATCCTTTTTGTGGGTCACAGACGGTCCACCATCATCCTCTCTCTTTCCTTCCATATTTTATTTTTTACTCACATATATAATTTTTTTTATTATTCCATTTCGATTGCCGCATTCGGTTTATGTTAAGTAATTCATCGTGGATTATCTATGCAAATGGAAATAAAAAAAAGCAGCGGTCCTAATCCTTCGACGCGTGCATATTAATCCTGAAATAGACCAGCTTTTTCAAATGTAATAAGTCCACCATTGATGAGATGTAATAAATCCGTTAACGGCGGCCACACGCTGAGAACTTTATAATCATAAGCCACTAAAATGGGGTCTTTATGGATCGATTGCATTTAAAAACGAAAATATCAATAGTGTAACCGGTGAAACTCGCCCATAAAACTATTTCTAATAATAACGTTAAATCAACTTCCTTAATCACTGGAAACACTCACCGCTTCAGGAAAACGCTCATAAAATGAACCCTGATAGGATTTCAGTTGATGTATTTTTTTTATATTATGATAAATCGAACGCATTTTTGTCCATTCTTCCTCTCCAGCAGTCTGAATACCAAGGTCGTGAGTGATGCCATCAATAAAACTTGGAATAATCACATTATTTACAGTGGTTTTGTCCGCTTTATACATTACTAGTATATTATCAGTCTTTCTTCTTTTGCTTCCTTCTGTAATTTTTTTTATTCAAGTCATTTACATTGATACCAATTATTTACTTATCATTATATTGTTTTGTTCAAGAAAGTGGAACGATTATTTCGTTATATTATATAAGAAAAAATAGTTAGGTTTAGATTAAGTAAATTTCTGGAAATGGAAATATACGCATAATATCAATTCAATTGTGATATCGGTTATCAATATTTGCTAGACGTGTCCATGCTATGTATAATTTACAGGAAAATTACGAAATCAATACAAAATTTATTGTAGAACTAAGTTATAATCATGATGTTGATAAGAATTTTTAATACTTTCGACATTTCAGTTATTATTTTTAATCCTGACTGAAAAATAACTTGTTTTTACTAAAAAATTAATAAGTATTATTCATACTTTCTGCAATTTAAGTTATCATTAATTAAAACAGAAAATTAAGTATTTACAAATTTCATATTTATTTTTTTACAAAAGTTACATCTTATTTTTGTATACAGAAAGTTATATATGATTTAATGTTTTAAATTCAGATTTAAAAAAATGCAAATATATCGATTAGGA